AAAAAAAAAAAAACAAAATAAAATGAATAAAAAATAAAGTGGGAGGAGATGCCTAGATCATCACTGGCCCCAGAGCATTGGGAGAAGGAAAGAGATAGAGTGAAGGGGAAGGGGAGAAGAGACAGATGAGAAGCAATGGGAGCAGGGCCCAGGGGACTCAGATACAGCAACAGTGTTAAGGAATGACAGAGCTAAATATCTAAACCACATAGTCTACAACCCTAAAATTGCGAGACCCAAACTTTAATGACCAAATTTGAAAGGTGGCTGTCAAGACAGTAGACTGGGCCTGGGGCAGGGATAGGAGTAGGAACCTGGGAACAGTGGTGAAGGGAAGTTGGCACCGGTGACAGGACTGTTGAAGGAATATTATATGCCAAATCCCCAACCTTGTTACAGTGCTTCAATAAAATAATTTTTTTTTGCTTTTTGGTCATACCCAATGATGCACAGGGGTTACTCTTGGCTCTGCACTCAGGAATTACTCCTATTGGTGCTTAAGGGACAATATGGGATGCTGGGAATCGAACCATGGTCGGCCACATGCAAGGCAAACACCCTACCTGCTGTGCTATTGCTCCAGCCCCAATAAAATAAAATAAAATTTTGAATTAAAAAAATCCAATCTGTGTGGCTGGAGAGATAGTACAGTGGGTAGGGAACTTTCTTTACACATAACCAACATGGGATCTATTCTGGTACCTCACAGGGTTCCCAGAGTACTACAGGAGAGATTCCTGAGTGCAGAACCAGAAATAATCTCTGACTACCACCAGCACTGGCCCCAAAACCCCTCAAAAGAGATTTTCTTAAAAAGGATTTGTTGAACTGGACAGATAGCACAGGAATTAATGCTCTTGCCTTGCACACAGTAACTATAAGTCTATCCCCGAGCATAGCCATGGCAGGGGAGATGCCTAAGCATGGAGCCCTGAGTACTTCTGGGTGTGGCCAACAAACAAACTGTTGGTCAGATGGGCAGTTCCAAATATTGCAACTGGAAGATATCTTCTTTTATTTTCCCTGGTGCTGTACATACACACTTTAGCTGTCATCTAATTGGGTAACTGGGTCTTCCATCACCTAAACTGACAGTCACGATTCCCTGCTAAACTCCTCTGTGTCTTTAAGCGTTATGAAGACAGAAATTTGTGCCTTTTAGGATTTCCCTGGGAAATGCTACAGCAAAGGTCTCCAAGGAAGAAGAATGAATTCAAAACCTGATTGTGCAGCTGGAAAAACAGGAGAGAGGATAATACAGGATATTAAATAATACAATCCAAATCAACTTTGCTTGTGTTCTGGGAAGGATAGCTGTGGGGAACAGAGAGGAGAACTCTCTGAGCATGTAAAAAAAGAACAGTGTTTAAGAGCTTGAGCTCTGGACTTTGATCCAGCTCTGAATCCGAACTTGGCTACTTGTGGGCCAATGATCCCTGAGGTCATGGTGCAGCCCAGGTCAAGGTGCATCTTCCTAGACACTGCCCATGAACTCCAGTTTATCCTGACTCAGCTCTGGGATCACTCATGGGTGGGCTTGACGGACCATCTGGGGTGCCAGGGATGGAACACGGGCTGGCCGTGTGCAAGGCAAGTGCCCTACCTGCTGTACTATCACTCCAGCCCTTAATTTCTGTTCCTTCTGACTAGAAACTCTTCTCAGAAAATGGGTTTGAAATGGCTGAAACTGTGAACAGGGCAACTTAAACTTGTTCTTAATGAGCCATACTGGGCATTGCATCATTTTCATCCTCCTGCCTCATTGCCAGTTACCCAACCACCAAAGAAATGATTCTAAGTCTTCTGTATTTGTAGAGTTTTGCACAATTATGCTGGTGCTCCAGTGGGTTTTAGTTAAGCCACAACTAAGTGTGAGCCACCAGTAGTACATGCCAACATGATCTTGTTTAAAACTAGGCTAAATAGCCCAACTTGTCCTCCCCTGGCTGAGGAAGCAAAGGCTAAGTGGACACTGCAAAGGTACTGAATCTAAGGAAAGTACATGAATCAACCAGGCCAAGTGAGTTTGGCTTTGAATTCCAGCTTCACGGCCTCCCTTAAGTTGCTGGAAGATCTTGGTCCATGATAGCATCTCTCTAATCTTCATTTCCTCTGGTGAAAAGGGGAAACATTTTTTGATACCTACTGCATGGACTACTATGAGAACATCTTATGTGGTGTGGTCAGAAGGGTCCCTGGAATACAGCAGTTCAACCCCACTAGTAGATGACCACACTTAGTAACTGGTCCTCAAACAACTTGGGTTTGAACTGCCTGGGTTCTTTCATACTCAGATAATTTTTGCATCTGGGTTCTGGAGTCATGGACTGAACCAAACAGGGATGTCTGTAGGTTGAATGCATGAATGTGAAACTCATGTATGCCCAAAGCTTCGTAAGTTGAGGGTCTAAATATATTTTTAATTTTGTATTTGAACTAGGCCCCACTGTGTTCAGCACTTACTCCTGACTCTGTTTCAGGGATCACTCCTTTTTTTTTGTTTAGTTTGGGGGGCCACACCCATCAACGCTCTCCACTAAGGAATTACTCCCGGAGGGGCTCAGGGGGACTAAATGGGATGCCAGGCATCGAATCCAAGTCAATTGCATGCAAGGCAAGCTCCCTACCTGATATATGATCTCTCCAGCCCCTCGGAGATCAGTAGGAATGATCCTGGGAAGGCGGGGGGTTGTTGGGGTGGGAGAAGACTATAAGCGGTGCTAGGCATTGAACCCAGGTTCCCTGTGTGCAAGGCAAGTGCCTTATTTACTGTATTATCTCTCTGGCCCTAACAAGATCATTTGTAACTGTGGGGGCATTGGTGATGCTCCCTCCTCCCCTCCATTCCATTGTTCAAATCTCAACTTTAATATTTTCTTTGTTTTGAGGGCAAGGGCTGGGTCATATAAGGAGAGGCTAGGGATTACTTCTGGCTTTGTGCGTCCAGATCACTCCTAGTGGTGCCAGGGAGATACTCTGTGGTGCCAGGTTTGAACCAGGTTCTGCCACATGCAGGACAAGCACAAAACTCCCTGTATTATATCTCCAGCCCCAGACTGTACTATCCTGACACTGCCTCCTATGTAGCTGATAGTATTTGGAAACCAGTCGTCACCCCAGTGGGATGTGCTGGAGGTTCCTGTCTCTGTGTTCTGTTCTCCATTACCAAGCAGGTAGGTTTTGTGATCCTAGAAGCTGGATGGCTTGGCAGGTTACAATGTAACAGTGTCTCTTTGCAAGCAAACAGCTTGAGGTCTGACTCGCAGACCAGGTCTTGCCTCATGGCCAACCCCATCAGAATGACACAGGTCTCATCAAGGCTGTCACAGCAACTGTTGGGACACATGGCTGCTTCACTGGCTTCCTGTGGGTTTCCTTAGTGACTGCGGGCTGGGTCCCCCCGGGTTTTAAGTCATTACTCCAAACATGATATGCATGATTAAATCCCCAGAGGGAAATCAAAATTAGAAACATTGGTGACAGGCTAATTAAAAGGAGGCCGGATCAATTTCTGAATCATGGTTCTTGCACTAATTAAACCTGGGCACCCGTGGGCAAGTTGCCGGTTCACTGAGCTTCACTGTCCCCATTTAGCAAATGGAGATTTCAGTGCCTCCATTATAAAGTCCTCACAAGGATTCCTATCAGTGACTGTAATGGCAATCACAGCTAGTATTGCCAGCAGGCCAACCATGTATCAGACATATGCTAAAGTACTCGGAGGAGGGTCATTTCCCATGTTTTTAATCCCTTTTATAAATGAGAAATATGAGACTCATAAAGAAAACAATTTACCTACAGATCCACAGTCTGCAAGCAGGTGGAGTTAGAATGGTGGTGGGGTGGGAAGTTGGGTCACTTCTAGCTGTGTTCAATGACGTCCACTCCTGGCTCTATGGTCAGGGGAACCATGAGCACAGCCAGCTCAGCTGCATGCAAGGCAAGTGCCCTATCCACTGCAATCTCTCTTTAGTCCTGGAGTTAGAATTAAATCATGATTTATGACTACAAATTTTTTAATGATTTGGGGGCCACAGTCCTGTGCTCAGGACTTCCTGCTGGCTCTGTGCTCGGGGATCACTCCTAGTGGGGTTTTGGAGATCATAGGAGAGATCAGAGATAGAGTCAGGATTAGCTGCGTCACCAGTCATGGGCCTTAACCATTGTACTATATCCCTAGGCCCAGGAGTTAAGAGTGAAAGCAGTATTTATGACTAGAAATTTTTGTTTCATTTTCCTTCTTTGAGGGGGGATGGGTTTTTGGGTCACACCCACTGGTGCTCAGGGATTAGTCCTGGTTCTGAATTCAGGAATCACTCCTGTCAGTGTTTGGGTTCAGGGGACCATGTGGAATGCAGGGAATCACCTGGGTCAGCCGCATTGAAGGGCAACACCCTCCCTGTTCCGGGCCATGTTTCACTTTCTTTTGGGGCCATAACAGGTTGTCCTCAGGGCTAACTTGTGGGTCTGTGCTCAGAGATCAGTCCTGGCAAAGCTTGGGAAAGCCTGTGAGATGCTGGGGATCAAACACGGGTCAGCCATGAGCAAGTGAAGTGCCCTACTCACTACACTATCTCTCTGTATAGTCTTTTAATGTACTCTCTACCCTTAGGACATTATTAAAAGCAGTTAAGTTTAAGTTAAATACAATTAAAGTTAAATAAAATTAAGGTTAAATAAAGATAGGTTAAAGGTTATTTAAATCTCAATCTTTTTCTGACTTTGGCCCTCTTTCAAGCCTTGTTTCCTTCTGGTAGCCCCCTGACCTAACTGCTGGCTCCCTAGTTTCTGTCATAGTTCCCCCTGTATGCAATTTTCACCTGGAATCTGCAAAAAATTCTGGGGGGTCCACTGCGGACCCCATGGTTCTTGGTTGAGATGCACTGATTTAGATCCTCAATCATTCCTATCAATCCTCTGATCTTTCTAATTTCTCCCCAGCAGCAACTACTACCAGCCAGGCGACCCCAACCACAAGAACCCATTTGTCTAGTACTCACGGTGGTAGTGAGCTTCCCGCCATTCTTCTGGACATACTGGATAGAATCGTGGATGGTCAAGAAGAGGCCAAGCAGCACATTCTCCATGTCGTAGATTCGGTACATGCCATTCACCAATTCTTCGAGGGACAGAATGTATTCTCTCCAGTACTTGTCAATTTCCACCACGCCTGCCATGCAGCCTTGCATGACCACATTGCAATAGCCGCCGCAAGGCTTCACCATCATCAGTCCCTGGCAGTAGGAGCAATACCACATTCTGGTGAGCATGCGGCCACAGTCCTTACTGAATTTCAGGTGGTCAGTGGTGTTGATCACTTCAATGCCAAGATTCAGCGCCTGGAGGAAGATTCTAGTGACCTGCAGTGACTTGGAAACCTGGGTCATGATGAGCTTGGGGAAGTTGCCAAACACTTTCAGGTCCCGTCTGGCTCCTCGGAGGCACTCGTTAATATCTAAGGCGGATTCAGGCAGGCCGGGATTCATGAGCTGGGTATAGATGACTGGAAAGAGGCTGTCAAACAACTCGTTGACCATGTCATCCACGTTGATGTCAGAACCGAGGATGTAGAGTGACACGTCAGTGAAAAACTCCCCCACAAACTCAAAAGCTTGAGGTGTCAGGCTCGGATAATTGTTCTTGAACATGGCGTTGGTGTAGTTCTTGGCATGGCGTACGACGATTTCAAAGGCCTCTGGAAAAGAAGAGATAGGGACATGCCCTCACATTAACACATGGAAATTCAAGTGCAAACGATTTTCCAGTAATGACGAAAATTCTGTTGTCTTCTGTAATGATGTCATAATTTAGTTGAGCACTGTTTTCACTTCTGCGATTTTTTTGTATGTGTACCTGAAAATCAAGGTTCCCTTCTGAACATGAAGTCTAAACCATGAAGGGAATCTGAATTCTTAAACATACAAATAACATTCAAATGAGGAAATTCAGGATTCAGTTAACATTTTGACCTCTTGTAAAAAATATTTAAGCTTGTTCAGCCCTGGAGGAGAGGCAAGTTCATAGTCAAGGAATAAAAGCTATCACAAATGGAATCATTTGGGGTCAATTTTCTCCAGATAAATTCAAAGGGAACTCTTCAACAAATTTCCAGACAAGAAATGTAATTTATCTCCTACATGGGTATCTGGATGGAAAACACATTCCATGCACACATCTGTATATTTGGTGCTGAAAATAAGACCTCTGGTATTTGCAGGTTGAACATCTGGAAGGATAACAGCTAAGCTTCCTTGGTAATTTCAGTTGACACATGGTTGATAAAACCTTCTCCACTCTGCAGAGACACCCAATGCACAACAAATACAACTGTTGCCCCTACCTCTTAGCATAGCCACAGCTAATATCATTGGTCAGGAAGAAAAAGTTGCACTACTACCTCATTTTCTCCCAATTGAAACACTTCACGCACAAAAGACCCCAAAGAAGCTGAGTTGCCAATGTTCCTAAGGAAAGGCAAAGGCCACCACAATGAAATAGACTTTTCAAGAAATAACACAGAATTAAAAGAAAACCCAAACCACCAAGCTTCACGAGGATAGAAAATTAACTAAGCACTTTCCACTGATTACAAGAGTAATCAGGGCCAGGACAGCTTTCCTCCATATGAGGCTCATTCATAAGCCTTGAAAACTCAAATTATTACTACTTTCAGACTACAAGGGAGATCAGACTAGGGAGATCAGTTCCTGGGGATCACTTAGTCCAGCAATTTAGTCATCTGGGGCAGAAGTCAGTTCGAAGCTGTGTTGCCACAATCTGTCCCAGATCCCTCACAAGGTAGAACATCCTCACTCTGATTCTTCCCTTGGGCTTATAACATTGCCTGCAATGGTGAACAGATGGCAGTGCAATTCTACTGGGTTTCCAAGCCCACTTGAGAAAGCTAATCTTCATGTTTATCAACTGCTACAGGTCCATTTGTTTTGCTTTGTTTGCTTTCGAATATTAAACCATTCCAATGAAATGTCTCGATCTTGTAACCATCTCCTCCTAATGACCAGATGGTACTCTCTACTCCGTCATTGAATTGAAAGGTTGAATGAGTCGAAGATGATTGTGGAGCCTAATACAAAGGAATAGGAAATTCTCCAAATTCATCAGAAATGTTGGTAATGACCCCCCATGCCCCCCAATCCATTCATGTTAATCTCAGCTAGTGATCATTTATTATTCCTAGGCTGTGTGCTAAGACCTAAGAATACAAAAGGTCTCGTAAAGTGCAAACAAAGGATTTGCTTGCGCTCTTCATCTTTAAAATCCTCTAGTTGGGCATTTGGGCTGGAGCGATAGCACAGTGGGTAAGGCCAGTATGGCCGACCTGAGTTCGATTCCTCTGCCCCTCTCAGAGAGCCTGGCAAGCTTCCGAGAGTATCTCACTCACCCAGCAAAACCTGGCAAGCTACCCGTGCTGTATTCAGTATGCCAAACACAGTAACAACAAGTCTCACGATGGAGATGTTACTGGGCCCGCTCGAGCAAATCAATGAATAACGGGAGGATCGTGACCGTAGTTGGGCATTTACAAAAAATTTCTAAGTGATTTATGACATCTACATTTTGCAATGATCACCGCAGGTGATCTACATTTCACACTTTAAAGATGATGAGAAAGTTTAGGTACTTTCCCAAGATCACAAAACTGCAATGTAGTCAACTCAAACTAGTGTCTCCCAGCAACTATCACACTCTTGCTACCATTATCCCTGAACACATATTCTCAAAATATCTGTAGAACATAAAGTTCTTTTGAACACTCATGGTTTTTCCATTGACATTTCCTCTCCCAATGGAAATGAACTAGATGAAATATCGGCCCAAAGATAAAGAAGGTTAGCTTTACTTTCAACTTGGCTCTCGGGAGCATGAATTAAAGACTTACTGAACTACTACACCTACATAGATCTCCATCATTTAGATCTTCTAAAATGAATGCTATGCAAGGCAAATTTCACCTTTAATATGGTGCATTTGCTCTCCAATGTAAAGATCAATGACAATAAAATTTATTGACTATACTGCCCTAACCTTGTTTGAGGTAGAGCAATAGAAAAAGAAAATTACAAAAGATTTGGAATTTTTCTACAAAAGAGTAACAACAATGGGGAAAGTGTTAGGGGTTCCTGGCTTAACTGCCAGATCCAGGTGCTCTCTGCTCCCACTATTACACCTCAGAATCCACTTAAGACCTCTCTGGGTTTGCCCCAAATCTGGGTTTGGGGCAAACACAATGGGGTATCTTTTTCCTACATCAGAAAGCAATAGATCCAATCACAACCAATGCACAGATGCTTTGGCAAAGGCTCCTTGAGGTCCTAGAGGAACCAGGTTAAAGTGATGTTCTGGGGTTTTTCTTAGAAACCTGATGTTTCATAAAATGAAGCCAAGGACAACAATAATTGCAAGATATAAGTTCACTGATTTCTTTTGGTTGAATAAGAAGGTCCACTTCAGTATGAGAAGGTTTCCCTGTCTTTTTTCCTAGGAAAAAGTCAATCATTAAGTCCAGGAAAAACTGGAACAATGGAAAATCCAATTATGAAAACTTTAGCAGTGAATAATGAATTTTCTCATTTTTTCAATATAAAGGAAGAGAAGGTATAAATAAATGGATCTAATAAACAGAATTCCTCTACATACCATAGTACAGTAGAGCAAAGTTTCAAGATGAATAGATGTCACCATGGCATCCTGGCCATTGTTATTTGGGTAATGGAATAATTTTTAAATATCCTCCAGAAATGACAGTGCTCATAAGGGCATAAGCACCACTGTCCAGCTGTGATATGGGCCATGGGATATGTGAAATGTGTAATGCGCACATATTACACAGAAAAGCCATGGTTTGAACCAGATAGTACAGTGGTTACTTGTACTATCTGGAAGACCCTTGCAACTGTTGAAAGGTCGGAAGGAAAAGGCAGATACTACCAGAGTAGACATTAAAAAGAGTCTTTACCAGGAGCACATCTTAAACGTAATAACAAACTAACAACAACAACAATAATCTTAATAACAAACTAAAAAAATTGGGAAGATGCACCAAGCTAAAGTCAACTAAGAAAACCCTAGAGTGCCTACATTCCAGACTGTAGCACTGTAGCACTGTCCTCCAAGTTGTTCATTGATTTGCTCGAGCGGGTACCAATAACATCTCCATTGTGAGACTTGTTGTTACTGTTTTTGGCATATCAAACACGCCACGGGGAGCTTGCCAGGCTCTGCCTTGTAGGTGGGATCCTCTGGGTAGCTGGCAGGGTTCTCTGGGAGGGGCAGAGGAATCGAACCCGGGTTGGCCGCGTGCAAGGCAAACAGCTTACCTACTGTGCTATAGCTCCAGTCCGTATTTCAGACTAAGCCAGAAATTGTCAAGAATAAAGAAAATGTCCCAGATAAAGAGAAGCATTACACAATGATTATGGACTCAGACTCACCAAGAAAACACACTCCTTAACATGAATGCCCTTAACAATGGAAAAATCAAAATATTTGAGGCAGAAAGTGAGAACTTCAAGAAGAAACAGACAAATGCACAATTGCAGTTGGAGACATCAACACTCCTCTATCAATAAATGACAAATCCATCAGGCAGGAAATAAGGAAAGGTCTTTTTGAATCGCATAGCACCATCAGTCAACTAGATCTAATTGACATTTATAGGCTACTTGATTCACCAGCAGCAAAATAACCCTCCTTCTGAAATTCACTGAGAACATTCACCCAGGAGACCATCTTTTGGGCCTAAATTTGAAAAGCATAGATACATCAAAGAGTTTTCTTAGACTAGCGTGGATTTAAATTACAGACTAATAACAGAAAAATCACTCATAAGCAAAATCACTCATAAACACACTTCTAGAAAAGGTACAGGCTTTCCTCCTAAGAAAAGGAGCAAGACAAGCTCTCCTGTCTGCATTTCTGTTCAATATTGTTTCTAAGATTCCAGTTATGCAATAACAGAAAGAATTGAAAGGTAAACAAAAAGGGAAAACACAAAATGGTCATCGTTCACAACTTAAGAGGAGAAGGTGGAAAATTTCGGGTGGTTAGAAATGACAAAGACGGTAGTGGAGACTCTATAGCATTTTGGTGGTGGTAGTAAAGTAGTGAAACAGTCTTCTACATAACCACAAACATTAACAATACAATTGTAGTTGTTAAAACTGTAAGAATAGGGCTAGAGTGATAGTACAGTGGGTAGGGCATTTGTCTTGCACAAAGCCAACCCGGTTTCGATCCCCAGCTTCCCATATGGTCCCCCGAGCACCGCCAGGAGTGATTCCTGAGTGCAGATCTAGGAATAACCCCTGTGCATCGCCAGATGTAACCTCCCCCCCCACACACAAAAAAAACTAACACAAGTGTCTATGCAGAAAAGCTCAAATAATTAGCGATGATATTCTGTTGTATAGTAAGCTGTATCACTGTATCACTGTCACTGTCATCCTGTTGTTTATCGATTTACTCGAGCAGTCATAAGTAAGGTATCCATTCATCCCAGCTCTGAGATTTTAGCAGCCTCTCCTTACTCGTCTTTCCCAATGCTGCCATATTGGAGACTCTTTAAGTGTCAGAGGAATGATACCCGTTATTGTTACTCTTTTTGGCACATTGAATACATAACTGGTAGCTTGCCAGGCCCTGCCATTTACTAATAAGCTATAACAGGAAAACTGA